GTCAGTCTCTCTCTGGTCAAACTCAAAGAATACTGATAATAAATAAAAAAATAAATCAATCTTAAAGAAAAAAGAAGAAGAAACGGGGGCCAGCAGGTGGTGTGGTGGTGAAGGTGCTGGAGCTCACGTGGCTGACTGCACAATTTGAGTCCTGGGCCCAGTGGCTTGAGAATCATGCCAGGCACGTGTGCATGTATGCCCAAGATCCCTACAGGAGAGTGGACTGCAGCGTGGCCACTTGGGGGGTGGCCTCTCTCTGTCCCTCTCTATTTCTCTCTGGTGAGTACACACGCCCTAGCACGAAAATCTAAAAAATAAAGAAAGATGGGGCAGAAGAACATAGGAAAGAACACGTCGTAGAGGTAACTGTTGTTTAGCAACACGTTGTTTCCGTTTGTATTTCTTTCAGTGGATTGGTCAAAACGTTCAAGAGCACCAGCCCAGGTTCTCCGCCTTCTTGACTTATCCTAGGTGTCTGCTGATTTGACTGCGTTTTCTATGCAGATGGTCTATGTATCGATGGACCTTTATTATTCCACGTTATTGCCTTACCGCCTTGGCCAGTATGTGAGGCTCTGGGGAATTAAGCTGTGACACCCATTTCACAGATAAAGAAAGGCAGGGTGAGGGGAGGAACTCACCTCCACCTCCTGCCCCAACCCCTCCCATGCACCAGCCAGGGCCTTCACCAGGTGGAGCTTCTTCTCGGGGCACTCCTTCGCTCAAACAGGGGAAGGGCTTAAATGAAAGATCCATTTTATGACTCAAAAAACTTTTGACAGCTGTTTATTTTTGTCCCTTACATCTTCGATTCAAAATTATGTTTTAACGTCTAGGCTCCTTGCTGCCGCCTTCACGCTCGCCAGGACAAGCCTGTGGCACTGCTCCTCTCCTAAGGGGAAAATAAACCGTTTGGGAAATGCTGAGGCTATGGCTTGGCCCCAGGCCAGCTGAGCGTGACCCTCCTGGTCTGTGTCCAAAGCACATTCTGAGCAGTCCTGCCCCCCACCCCCGCACTGCTGAAAGGTGGGGGGTGGGGGGCTGGCCTGTCTCTAGTTGGGGCTGAGAGGAAGGCCCAACATGGCCGAAGGCCAGCCCCACCCTGCTGTCCTGGGGGCTCCCTGAGGGTGGAAGGGCGGCTCCAACCTACTCCAGCCAGAGGTCAGCGTGGAAGTCCAGGCCTCCCCACAGCCGCTCCGCAGCCACCACCAGGAATACCAGTAATCATCAGCTCCATCCTTCCAGCCTGCCTTCGCCCTCCCCACACAGTCCCGGCCACCTCCCACTCACTTCCCCCAGCAGGCTGGGGACTCAGGGTGGACAGGGGTGGGGGTAGGAGGGAGGGGCTGGGTTAGCCTGGTGAGGCAGTATCCTGCTGGGGGAGGCTTGAGAGGCACAATGAGGCGGGCTGTGGCTGGGGTGGCTGCCTGGGACTGGGCCATGGCCACACCCGACAGAGCCCTCTGCAGGCTGGGGGAGGGAATGCGAGGCTTCCCCCCTCTGCTTCTCCAGACTGGGAGCCGGTGGGATAAGGGAGCGGGTGGAAGCCTAGGCCGGTCCACCCCCTGCACCCAGGGAACAAGGTGAGAAGGGATGGTAAGAGGAGATATCTGGGTTCCCCTGAGCACCCGCCATGGCCCACTCACCCTGGAGAAGCTCGTTGCCCATTCTGGAACCACTCCCTCTGGAACAGTTCTGTATGGCATTGTTTCCTTTTTTTTTTTTAAAGTTTTTGCTATAGGGCACAAGCACTCTCCAGAGAGAGTTGTGGGTTTGGGGTGAGGGGACTGAGAAATCACTCTCAAGGGAGATGGCCACACCACCATCCCTTCTTCTCTATTCTTGGGATTTGGGGCACGCATGCTTGTGCGTGGGTCCAGCAGGCCCCGAACCTTCATGCCACCTAGTAGCCCTGTTTTCACTTAGGGATTTGGTAGCAAAGTTTACATAAACTGTTAATTAGGGATTTGGTAGCAAAGTTTACATAAACTCTTAAAGTGGGCTGGGACCTGTCCCGCCTTCCTGTCCTCTGGAAGAATGGTGTGAGATTAGAGGGTTTATTTGTTTAAATACTAGTTAAGGCTAACCACAGAAGCCATAGAGATTTGCAACTTTATTTGAGGAAACAGATTTTTTTTTTTTTGAGAGATTTTCACTGTAGGGCGCGTGCGCTCGCCAGACAGAGAGAGACATAGAGACAGAAAGCGAGAAATCACCCCCCAGGGGGGATGGTCACTCCGCAATCCCTTCTCTTCCATTCTCCTCTCAGGATCTTGGGCATGCACGCACACGCGCCCAGTGTGAGTTTTAAGTCACCAGGTCCGGGATGCGAACCGCGGTTGACTACATGGGAGTCCAGCGACATAGCCATTACGCTAACTGCTGGTTCCCAGGAAACCGATCTAAAGTTCAGTTTCTTTCGTAATTTTAGCTATTCCGACCTTGTCACCTTTTGTGTCAATTTTGGCATGTGATATTTTTTCATTCTTTCCTACATTTTCAAACTTTTCAGCATAGAGTTATTCATCAGACTTGAACGACCGCGTCAATACAACGATCCCTTCCTTTTCATTTCCGATCCTGGTTTTGCGTATTGATCTTATTTTTTTCACCTACTGGGACAGTTTTATCAATTGAATAACGTTTTCAAAGAACTCACTCTTGAATTTGTTGACTCTGTTGATTCCCTATCTGATTTTCAATCTTATACATATTATGCTTGTCCATCCATGCTTTTTTAAAAATCAAGTAATTTATTTTTACTTTTTGTCAGAGGTTCTCTGTGCTCACCAGAGAAGAGAGAGAGGGAGAGAAAGCACCCACCAAGGAGGTATGGTCACACCACAATCTCCCCTGCGTCTTTCCATCCTCTCAGGACTTGGGCACACACGCGTATGTGCCTGGCCCGTCCATCATTTTTTTAAATTGGCCAGAGAGTGCATGTACTTGCTGGAGAGAGAAAGCACCTCCCAAGCGGACAGTCACGCCGCAATCCCTTTCCCTCCATCTCTCCCTCCTTTCAGGATTTTGGACACCCACACACATGCCTGGAGTGGTTTTTTTTTTTTTAATAATTAGTTTGTTGGCATAAAGTTTTTTTAATTATTTATTTTTTCATTCATTTATTTTTTAATTTGACCAGAGAGAGACAGAGGGTAAGAGAGAGAGGAAATGAGAAAGCAAGCCACCAGATTCAGGACTTGAACCCTGGTCAGCCATGTGGGAATGTCCAGCGCCTTAACCACCACACCACCTGCTGGCCCCAGCCTGGAGTGTTTCTAAGCCCCTGGGTCTGGGACTCAGATCACATGGTCCGCCATGCGGGCTCCAGCTACCTGTGCCACCACGCCGTCTAGCCCCACATGCTTTTCGATTTTATCTGGTCGTTCTATTTCTAGCTGCTTGACGAGCATATGATCTACCTTAATTTCAGCTCCCTCTTTTCTTGTGTTTGTACTTAAGTTTTCTCTGCAGTTTCAGGTCAGAATGTTTACTTGGGGGTGATGCTGCAAGGACCACGTATGATCAGGGGCCCTCACAAGTCACATCCCTGTCTACACCTCCACCTCATCCTGCCCACCTTGGCCCCTGCCTGGGACCATGTCCCCCACTGCCCCTCCTCACCTGTCCACTACGGAGCCACACACGCCTGCAGAGTTGTCCACAGCCCCTGCCCTGCTGAGAACACCCACTGGGCCACAGTTCGGCAGGGCTCTGAGACTGGCCAGACACAAATCTGCCCATTCGGGAAGGGCTTTTGAAAGCAGCCACCAGGAAGAAGAGAAGCCCAGGACGGCGACCCGGGAAGGCAGTGCTGAAAGATGGCAGGATGGCAGGTGCAGGGTGGGGGAAAGACCACTCCGCACCTGAGTTCTGTGCTCAGCCATTCAGGCGTGTGGGCAAAACTAAAGCATTTTCTCTAGACAAGTACGCCACAAGTAGGTATTTGTAGATGGCGCTTGCTCCTCATGGAGCTGTGTTACAATAAGACATGGAAGGATGAGTCTCAGGAGACACAAACTGCCCAGTGGGGTGCAGAAGGAACACAGGAAGCTCGTGGAGCCATCGGCATACCTTAGGCTGGACCCCAGGCACCATAGCAGTGGCTTGGGGACCAGAAGGGAAATGCCAGGCTTGGGGGAAGCACAGGCCTCAGCTTGTGGGCCCCGGCCAGCCTCTGGGGGGGTGGGCGAGGCCTCATCCCTGCCCGCAGGGACATCAGCCCACCAGGAAAAAAAAACAAAAAAACAAGCAAATGCAGCCACACATGGAGGCCACGCAGGGGCAAGGTGCGCAGAGGGCAGAGGTCAGGATCGGCACCCCGCCTCAGACAGCACAGGCCCAGGAGTCCACGGGCCCACCACGGCTGCCTCAGCTGCACCCGAGTGTCACAGGGAAGGCAAGAGGGGCTGTGCTGATGCGTACTGAGGTGTCCCGGGGAGCCTGAGAACACCGGGCGGCATCAGTGACCAGTTTAGCCTCGAGCCCAGGTAAGTGGGGACACTCGTGTTCTTTTACTCATTTATATAGGATGTCTGGCCAACGTCCGGCAGAGGTCTTCCTACTTCCATCTGCAGAAGCCTTGATTCTGTCTTCCTCCTGCGGCCCATGCATTTTCCAGGTCACAGGCCTGTCTGGGGGGTGTACAGGCAGAGATAGGGCGGGCCGTGGGACAGGGGACCTGCCAGCTAAGCCATCATCCAGGCACAGGATGGTACTCAAGACCGTATGGCCCACGCAGGCACAGCTTCCCTCCTGCAGCAGCTCTTTGGGTAGCCCCACTCCAAGCAGGGCCCTCCGTCTCCCACAGATGCAGAAGGCAGAAGGGTGGCCCTGACCCAAGGACCACCAGCCCCATCACCACAGACCCTCCCCTGGGTCTCCCTGGGCTGCCCACTTCCAAGAGGACGAGTCAGGTTCGGGAGGCCGCTCTAGCCAGAACTGAGACCTGTCACACTCCTATGAGATGAAGCCACTGAAACAGATGCTGGGCACACCACTCTTTCTGGGATTTTTATTTCTTTAAAATAATTCATACAAATGGTTACAGTCACAAACATGATTTTAACCAAAATATTGCTAGCCTACCACATCAGCAGGACGGCACCGGCGCAGGCGGGGACACTGCCGTCCCTCCACACCCCCAGGACAGACGTTGACGGGCCGCGGGCACGCTGTGCATTACACAAACCCTCCTCTGAGCTGCTTCGCGATGCCGTCTTCATTTGGAATAAGGGGGGGTTCATGCCAAAAATTAGGAAAAACAGCCTTTGTTTTGTTTTTCTAAATTATTCTAAAAATAAGACAAGCAGGTAGAAAAAACAATGCACTGTGTGGCAGAAAAAGAAAGACGGGAGGGTTCATTGTCCTGAGAAGTTGCCAACTGCCTCACTCCGGGGCACGTTCCAACACGTGAAGGGAGAAACAACCTCAAATTGACTTGCCGAGTGCTCCCTCGAGTTTCCTTTTGTTGACAGCTAAGCAAACAAATCCTTTGTAATGTTCTAAAACTGTACACAGACGAGAACATTCATGATAGAATTAACTACTAACTTCTTTTGCTTAACAAGGAACGCAAAGGACACAGGACAGTGAGCCAGCCCACGGGACGGGACAACTACAATCGACACGGAGGAAGGGCCCAGCACTGCCTCTCGCCCCGCCCCGCACAGCCTGGACCAGTCTCTGGAGCCCGCGGCCACCACGGAGGCACCACCTCCACACACTCCGGTCCGACGGTGTGCGGCGCCCTCCACCGAGGCGCTGAGGCTGAGAGCTCCTCCCGGGCTACAACTGGTCACTTGCGTGGTCTCTATCCGCCTCGGGCTTGACAGTTTGGCCAGGAGAAGGGGCGTGGGGTGGGTGGGCCACAGGGGGGAGGCCATGGGACAGGGGCATAGCACTGGGGACGATGCCTTCAACAGCGGCCGGGATGCCAGTGGGGGCCACGCCTACCACGCCTGGGGGGTACCTGCTGGGAGAGAGGGTCAGCATGTAAGGCCCACTTGCAGGGCGGGGTCCTAGGCCAGTCCACCTGCCTCTCCCCAGGCCCTACTATGGCTGCAGCCCAAGAAAGGCCAGCAGTTGGGAGGACCCTATCCTGGCACAGACACCCCTGCCTATGTGACTCCTCAGTGCAGGGGTGGGGACGGAGGAGGGTACTGGGCGAGGCATCTCTGACACCTCTAGTGACTTAATCCTGCAGTCCTCATCTCCTGCCCCCAAATCTTTGCCAGCCCTCTACTCACAGTGGTGGCCTCTGCCCAGTGGCCTTGCGTCCATCAGGCCCTGGGGCCACCCAGACCTGGTCTTCAAGAGGCCCTGGTTTCCATGAACTGAGAAGGTAAGAGGACTACACCATTCCCAGCCCACGTTCCTGTGGCCCGGAGAGTGGACACATCTGAGGTCCGAGAGCCCCACCGGGGTTGGCTGCATCCCTTGCTGACTTGGGGACTCTCAGGTCATCCGACTTTCAGGGTTGTGCCCAGGTCCAGGCTGAAGCCCCAATCACCACAGAGGCTGTCCACCATGTCCATCCCTACCACCCCAACTCTCCACCCGCCTGCTCACCTGTAGGCAGCCCCATTGAGCTCAGGGTGCACGACGGCTGGGTCCATGCTGGCCCAGTGGGTGGCAGCTGTCAGGTGGTCCTTGTTGACACAGTTTTTCAGGCTGTCTGGGATCCGCCCTGGGAGAGGCAGTGCAGAACAGCACAGGTTAAACTCTGCTGCTCTAAGTGGGCCCCAGAGAGGTCCTCGGACTGCACGGCCTCCTCAGCTGTGCCTCCCCCCTCTCAGCCCCGAGGCTTGCTCCCCCAGACACAGCAGTATAGTTGGACAGTCACCCTTACAGCCTGGGGACTTCTCCCGCCCAGACCACGTGTCTGAGGGTCCCATCTGCTAAGCCCAGGGATTTCAGAGAGCAGCTGACAGGGCTTGGCCCCTGAGCTTTGCACACAGGAGACGACGCCTGGGCTCAAACCTGGCTTTCCCCAAGGCCCCTGGTGGGGCGGTGAGAGGATCTTGTCCCCCATGCTGGCATGAAATGGACTTGCCGACTGAGAGAAAAAGCGAGGCATCTCCTGCCATGCCTGGCAGATGCTCGCCTCCAGAAGATCCGCCAAGAGACTCCTGTGGCCGGTGGGAGGCCGCCTGCCCGCCTGGATGGACCGCCCAGCCAGCACCCACCTGTGATCCCTCTCCGGATCTCCCGGGCTGCCTCCTCACGCATCTCGATGGATGCCTGCTCGCTGTACCATGCAGCATGAGGGGTGCAGATGAGGTTGGGCGCATCCTTCAGGGGTCCCTGACTAAAGCTGGGGACAGCACAAAACATGGTCAGAGTGATCCAAGCACCACAGCCGAGGTGAGGGCAGGAGGCGGCTGGGCACTAGGATCCGAGGGTGACGACTTCCCTGCTCAGGCCCCCAGCCGGGTCCCACAGATGCCACCAGCCCGACAGGCTGAGTGCGAGGGCAGAGCCCAGGACGGCCAAAGCATCCAAGGGTCCTGACAGTAGAGGAGGTGGGAAGAGCCTGTGAGGGATCTCCAAGTCCCGCAGGGAGGGAATCCTGGTGGGGGCGCAGGGCAAGGATGCTGGTCCATCCCTCTCCACTGGTCTGTGGCCTCAGGAGCTGTGGGCTCCCCGACATGCCCCCGACCCCTGCACCACGGTCTCCTGGAGGGACTGAGGATCCAGTCCAACCCTGGTCTGTCGTCCCTAAGATGCAGCTGGGGACTCTGGAAGTGGCTGTGCAGAGGTGACCACCTTGGGTACGCCACAGTCATAGCTTTGGCTGGCCCCTGGAAGATCAGCCTGCAGCAGGCCCAGACTGGATGGCAGCCAGCAGGGCTATGCCCTTGACCCTCACGGCCTAAGGCCAGGACTGTGGAGACCGCTCATGGGCCTTGGAGTCCTGCTCTCCTTATGGGTTGGGATCCTTGGCCCAGGAAGGGTAAGGAATAGGACTAGCTGGGCCCACCCTCACAGTGCCATGGCCCAGGGGTTCCTGCCTTCCCCCACACGGTAGGCAACACTGCCCAGCGGGATGCCTAAGCCCCAGCAAGAGCCTAGCACGGAGGAGCATCGTTCAGGTCAGGGTAGGGCGAGTGGGCATGGCTTGTGCAGGGGCTACTGGCAGCCAAGAAGCGCAAGGGACAGGCTCCGGGAACCCCTAAGGCACCTGAAGGGCTCTGACTCGTGCACATCGAGGGCTGCACCACGGATCCGCCCCTCCTTCAGGGCCTGGGCGAGTGCCTTCTCGTCCACGAGGCCACCTCGAGCTGTGTTCACCAGGAAGGCCCCTTGTCTCATCTGAGGAGACAAACAACATGAAGACAGTTAACACAGACACCTCCACGTGAACCAAGGAACTCAGAGCCCACGGGGCAGGGTGGGCGATGGCAGGCAGCCATGAGCACAGAGCAGACGCGCTATGGCCCTGCCTGAAGGAGGCTCCCTGCACTGACCCCCACCTTCCCAGCTCACAGCCAAATGAATGAAGGTCCCAGGGTGGGACACCCTCCTTTCACAGGCTGGTTAGGGCTCAGGCCTACGGGGCCCATGTGGCCCATGTCCCTCCTATAGGACCATTGGCTTCAGGAGAGGGAGCAGCCTGTGGCTCAGCTTCCTGCTGTTGAGCACTGTATGGGCTGGGATGCGGGGCTCCATTCTGCACATGTGCCTGAAAAAGGTCCAGGGCATGGAGTACTTGGCCAACTGCAACTGCAACCAGGATCCTGACCCCACACACATCTGTGCCCCCCCTTTCCAGGCCTTTCCAGCCCCCATCTCCCTCCAACAGAGTACACACTACTAGCTGGGAGCTCAGACCTCACGACACACTGCAAATGCCATGGCGAACAGTCTCGGTTTACCCGCTCTGAGGTGTGGTCCACATGGTGCCCCAGCCAGACGCATGCCATTTCTGGAGCTGGGCTGCAGGGGAACCTGCTCCTCCCAGGATGGGTGCAGTTCTTCATTCTTCATTTGTGCAGAAGGCCCTTGGAGGTGCTGGCATACGCCTGCTCTGTGGCGAGGGGTACCTTGTGACCCCCATTTCTTTCTGCTATGGTTTGCACAATGGTTTGTCCCCAAGGGTTCATGTGCTATAATTTGGTCCCTAATGTAATGGCACTGGGAGGTGGTGAGACCTTTAAGGGGAAGACCCACTTCGGTGTGGGTGGGCACCCTGCCAGACAAGACCGGTACATCAGGCTGAGAGAGGAAGAGGGGCCTTTGATATGGGCAAGCACCATCCAGGCCGCTGGGGCACGGGAGGGGCACCCAGGGAAGTGGAAAAGCCCCTCTCTCTGCACACAGCTGCTGACCTGCCTGCTCCTCTCAGCCATGCTATGAGGTGGGTTAGAAGCCAAGGCCCTGATCTTGGACTTCCCGGTCACCAGAATGGTGAGCCAAAACTTCCTGTTCTTTGTAAGCCACCCAGTCTCGGCTGCCTCTGGAACCATTAGCCACACAGTAATGGACTAAGACACACCCCAAGTCAGCTCACCCACTGTGGTGCCTGGGCACCACCTGCTTGGGTCTGAGCAGCTTCTCCTTGGTCAATTCCTGCCCACGGTGGCCTCACGGCCACAGCTCTCGGGGACAGCAGGGTTCTAAACAGTGTCCATGTGCCACACCCTGTTTGCTAAGAGGCTCTAACCTACCAACTCTGTGGACAAGGGAGTGGTGGCTGTGGGCTCTGGGAAGACAGAATGGGTGGGCTGCTCCCACCATATACGCACACACATACACATGTGTGTAAACGTAGGAACATGCACCCCCACACACACAAATATGCATGAACAGGTGCATGCACAACCATCTGGAAGGCCTGGTGCCAGCAGGAGGTGGCTCTAGTCCTGCCACAACTCCAGCAAGCCCAAGAGAGCCCACGGTTCACATCACGGCCTCCGAGTAAGCTGCACGGAGACAGGGAACTTGTGGATGTACATCTTTCCAGCACCCGGAGACAGCACTCAACGGCAGCACGGGCAGGTGTGGCGGCTGAGCCTGCACCCCCAGGCTGCTGCGTCTGTGCCCACTTGAGAGGAGGACAAGGACCAGTGGGGGATTTGGCATTTAAAAGCACGTGGTTCTGCCTTTGACATTTGGAGTGTCAGGTAAAACTCAGAACTCAGAAAACGGGAAGGGCATCTGGACACAACCAGCTTCCCATGGCAGGGCCAGCAGATCCCGGCCCCAGAGGCAGCTGGGTACTAGGAGGGCCCCACTGTCACACCTGGGCCACCTCAGCTGAGGGAGCCAGCTTCCCATGGCAGGGCCAGCAGATCCCGCCCCCAGAGGCAGCTGGGTTCTAGGAGGGCCCCACTGTCCCACCTGGGCCACCTCAGCTGAGGGAAGTGAGGTGCTGGAAGGGGTCTGCCCCTTCCCCACTCCTCTGTGCCTCTCAGTGGCCACAGCAGAAGGGAACCAGGCAGCCCACCATCTGGGCCAAGTCCCAGGTTCTCCCCAAGGCCCCGTGAGGCTCTGTGGCGGGCAGGTCCACCCAAAGGAGTGGGTGATGGAGAGGCCCGGCCGTGCCCACCTGCTTGACGGTGAAGTCGTTGATGAGGTGGTGGTTGTGCTCGTTGAGGCCGCAGTGCAGTGTCACGCAGTCACTGTGGAAGAGCAGGTCCTGAAGGGTGCTCACGCGCTGCAGCCCCAGGGCCCGCTCGATGCCATCAGACAGGTATGGGTCGTAGAAGAGAACATTGAAGCCAAATGCCTTGGCCCGAAGTGCTACCGCTTGCCCCACACGACCTGGTGGGGTTGAAACACGGTGTGAGACACGTGTCCCCATTGTTCGAACCAGCCAGGGACAGAGTAGCAGGGTCTGAGTGGCCTCCTCTATGCCTCAGTCCACCAAAGGGAGACATCAGATCCTTGTGGCCGTGGTCACGCACACACACTGCCCTGAGGCACCATCTGCCAGGGTGGGGGACATGCCACAGGAAGGGGAGACAGGAGCCCCTTGGCCTTAGCCCACACCACCTTCTCCCCCACCCTGCAGCTTGTCCACAGGGCACTGTGTGAACTGGCCAGGGAGTGTCCACATGGCCTGCATACACCCTCAGCACCAGGGCCATGGTGTTGCTCACTTCAGCCCCTCCTCTGATCTCACCATCACAGGGGGGAATGGCAAACAGCACAGGACAGGGACCCTCTGGTCCAGACGATGCTCCCATGGGATTCATATCCCACTGGAACTGAGCAGTGGAGAAAGCTCGCTGCGGGCATGGGCCCAGGCACAGGAGCTGCAAAGTGGGTGGCTGTGGTTGGGGTCTGGGTCCATCCCCAGCCTGGGGACAGGCCTGGCACATGCACATGTTCACCGTGCACCAGCTGAGGCCGGCTCAGCTTCAGAAGTGCAGACACAGCCGAGGGGGACGTGGGATGTCACAGATCACTGCCGGGGGACAGTGGCGAACACGAGTTGTAGAAGGTGTAACTGCTGTGGAAGGAAACGGGGCACAGCTAGGGGAGTGTGGAGGACGGGTAGGCAGGCTGCCCTGAGAGGTCTGTCAGAGACGGAGAGCGATGGAAGGAAGCCGGATAGAAGTATCAGCCAGAGCAAAAGCCCCAGGCCGCAGGAGCCAGGTGCCCGAGAGACCAGGCTGCCAGCGCCAGCGCAGCAGATGGAGCAAGCAGGGAGGGCAGGACGCTGCGCATGCTGGAGGGCCCTTCTAGGAGCGCTCTGAGGAATGGGCTCTGAGGGAGCAGCTGGGAGACCCGTCAGGAGAGCTGAGGATGGTCTGACTAAATTCTAGTAAGGGATGAGAAGGAAGAGAGTCTTGACTTTTGACAAGCAAGTGCCGGGTGGAAGGATCTGGCAAGAGCAAGGCGGGACCAGCTGCTCTTTCAACAACTCTGAGCAATGACCTGAATCCCAGAGAAGCTCCCCCAGCACTGGAACGCCCCAGTGTTGGGGACTTCAAGGGGAGCTGGGGCCTAGACAGAAAAGGAGGGGAGCAGGGGAGAGACAGAGACATGGAGAGATACCTCCTACAGCATAGTCATCCTAGAGATCCTGTTACCTCATGATGCTTAAATGGGAAGCCTTGATGTCAAATGCAATCACCAGTGAAGGACTAACTAAAGCTACAGGCCAGCACCAGCCCAGCTCAACACCTCAGTCAGGTGCCCGACAGAGGACAGAAGTGACCGTTTTGAGTGTAAGATTATTTACTTTAGTTTCTACTATTTTATCCTATAGAATACACGGCATACAGTAGGACATAATTATGACCCACAAAAAGGAAGGAAATGCAACTTTTAATGAAAACAGAACACAAAAACAAACAAAAAAGCAGAAGCAGACCCACAGATAAGAATTAGTTGGACCCAAAGAGTAGAATTAGTTGAGAAGAATTTTTTTATATAAGCATAGAAAGAGCTCTTTTTATTTAATTTTATTTATTATTATTTTTTAATTTGACCAGAGGGAGACAGAGAGAGAGGGAAAGTGAGAAAGAAAACCACCAGGTCTGGGATTTGAACTGTGGATAACCATGTGGGAGTCCAGCACCTTAACCACCACGCCACCTGTTGGCCCCAGTAAGAACTATTAAAATAACCATCATAAGTATGTTATAGAAATTATGGGCAAATATTCATATAATAGGTACAAGAATTCCAGCAGAGAAATGGTAACTCTATAAAAAAAAATTCTATAACTAAAAACTCTTACTGAAATACTCATTGGGGGACCAGCAGATGGCATAATGGTATGGTGCTGGACAACACAGTCAAACACAGTTCAAGTCCCGGACCCAGTGGCTTAAAACTCACTCTGTGCATGTGTGCCCACGATCCCAAAAGGAGAGTGGAGGAGAAGGGATTGCAGAGGCCATCCCCCCAGGGAGGGGGGAATTTCTCACTTTCTATCTGTCTGTCTTTTTGGCAAGCACAGGCACCCTATAGCAAAAATCTCTCTTAAAAACTAAAAAAAGAATTAACTGGGTGGGGGCCAACAGATGGTGTAATGGTTATGTTGCTGGATTCCCTCATGGCCAACTGAGGTTCAAATCCCAGAACCGGTGGCTTAAAAATCACGCCAGGTTCATGTGTCTGCATGCCCAAGATCCTGGGAGGAGAATGGAGGAGAAGGGACAGTGGTATGGCCTTCCTCCAAGAGGGTAATTTCTCACTTTCCCTCTCACTGTCTCTGTCTTTCTCTGGTAAGTGCATGCACCCTAAGGCAAAAAACTCTTAAAAAAGAATTTATTGGATGGGTCCACTAGCTTAAGAACAAATAAGGATCAATGAACTGGAAAATAAGAGCTCAAGGTCAGTAGAAATTATACAAAATAAAGCAGAGAAAGAAAGAAAGAAAAGAGTTAAACCAATTTTTTTAAAGGTCAAAAACGAGGGGTGAGCAGGTGGCGTGGTGGTAAGGCACTGGACTCCGACATGGTCGACAGCAGATTGAGTCCTAGACCCAATGACTTTCTCACGATGCTGTGCGTGCATGCGCGCCCCAAATCCGAGGAGAGTGGAGAAGGGACTTCAGCATGGCCGTGCTCCCCTGGAAGGTGAGTTCTCACTTTCCCTCTTACTGCCTCTGTCTCTCCAGAAAGCGCATGCACCCTATGCCAAAACCCTTAAAAAAGAAAGAAAGAATAAAATTGAATAGAGTGTCAGAGAATAATAGATGGTCTAAAATATCTGTAAATGGAATCCCAGAAGGAGAAGCAAAATGGGAAAGAAATTATGTGAAAAGTTAGCAGCTAAGAAATTTTCAAAACTGATGAAGGATACCCACCGTTCAAGAAGCTCAGAAAATTCTAAGTGGTAAATACTGAGAAAACAGGACTGTCATACATACAGAAATAAGTCAAACATACAGAATCAAATAGACAGAAATCTATCGATAGAAATCATCTCGAAAACAGATACAGCACCTTCAGAATGAAAATAACAGGTATAATGACCACTTGCACTAAGACACAATGGAAGACAGTAAATGATGGAGTCCCGTTTGTAAACGTGCTGAAAGATAAAGTGCACCTAGAATTCTACACAAAAAAGGAATATCCTTTAAAAATGAAGGTTGAATCTGTCACTACCAAGTCACGTTTACTTTCGTTCTTTTTAGAGGTTTTTGCCTTAGGGCACGTGCACTTGCCGGGGGAGACAGACACAGTGAGAGGGTAAGTGAGAAATCATCCCCCAGGGGTAGAGCCACGCTGCAATCCATTCTTCTCCTAGGATCTTGGGCACGCATGTACACATGCCCTGTGTGATTTTCAAGCCAATGGGCTGAGAATAAAACCATGTTCTGCCATGTGGGAGTCCAGCAACGTGACCACCATGCCATCTGCTCGTCCTCTTTTATTTTTTTTCCTTTCTCCAACATTTGCCAGAGAATGCATGTAACTCACCAGAGAGAGAGAGGAGGGACAGGGAAGATGAAAAAGTACCCCACCATGGGGAATGGTCACATCACAGTCCCTTCTCCTCCATTTCTCCCTCCCTTCGTGAGTTTGAGCACACATGCACACACACACCCAGCATGTTTTTCAAGCCGCAGGGTCCAGGACTCGAATCATGCAGTCAGCCACGTGGGATCCAGCCATCTTAACCATCATGCTATGGACTGGTCCACATGCAACATTTCTAAAAGAGATCCTCCAGGCTCCAGGGAAATGGTATCAGGTGGATGTGGAGAAAGCAATGAGGAGGATCAGAAACGGTAAATGTGAGTATTTTTCTTTATTCACTAAGAAATGTCCCTCACTAGGCCCAGCTGTGGTAGCATACACTGGAAACTGCTGCTTGACAGGATGAAGCCACATGGGGGATCAAGGTTTGAGTCCTGGCCCACTGTAAAAAAGGCTAGATACAGAGGCATGTACTTATAACCCTGGCTTCTTGAGAGCTGAGGCAGGGCTGTGACAGAGTGAGACCCAGTCAACAAAAACCCCCATCCACACATACACCACACACTACTGACTTAGTTTATTAAGTAGGTTTTAGCAACTATGGAAGTAGAAAATATGGCGTTACTAGCACAAATAGTAAAAGGGAGTAAAAGGAATCACTGTTTTAAGGTTCTTTCATTATTCTATGGTATAGAATAATGAAAGATAGACTATGGTAAGTTAAGAATGGATCTCATAATCTCTAAAGCATGCTATGCAGTATGGATTAAAAAGCAATACAGGGTTGACTCCATGGTAGAGTGGTAATATGCTGCTCGAGAGAAGCCAGATCCCACAGGGTGATTTGAACTCCCAGCCTGGTCAGCTTGAAACACAACAGGCCCATGCACCTGTGTCCAAGATCCCACTGGCTAGAGAACTGGAGGAAGGGAGCTGTCATGTGACCAGACCCTGTTGGGGGTGCCTCTCTCTTTCTCTCTCTCTAGTATATCCACAGGCTCTATTATGAATATATAAAAAAAAGAATTTAAAAGATAAATAAAACTTTAGGGGACTAGCAGTTAACGTAATGGCTATGTTGCTGGACTCCCATGTAGTCGACCGCAGTTCAAGTCCTGGACCTGGTGGCTTAAAACTCATGCCAGGCACGTGTGTGTGCATGCCCAAGATCCCGAGAGGAGAATGGAGGAGAAGGGATTACGGTGTGGCCATCACCCTTGAGGGGTGATTTCTTGCTTTGTCTCTCTGTCTCTCTGTCTGGTGAACGCACACGCCCTATAAAAAAAAAGATAAATAAAACTTTAGGACCAGCAGATGGCGTAATGGTTACATTGCTGGACTCCCACATAGTCTACTGCAGTTCAAGTACCAGACCTGGAG